CTATATTCTGAAAAAATAGCATCAAATATTATCTACTTTTGCAAAAGTCGCTAATATACTTATGTATGTATGTATTTATACACTTTCAAAAGTCTCCATCTTCGGATGAACTTAGAAAACCGCAAGAAAACGTGGTAGTTTCGGTGCCTAGTGGAAGGCGTCGTAAAAAATAAGCAGACCAATCTTCATGGAAGAGTGAACGCGAAAAGCTTAAAAAAGCTGGCCATATAAAACTTACTGTTTCAAAACTCGCTATATTTAATTTGTATATATAAAATTTGCAAAAACTACCACACTGCGATTTTGATTTTTAATGTTATTAGGCTCTTATTTATCCAAATTTTCAGATAATAAAAAGAAATATACAATTTGGATGTTATTTGTTGTTGTAGACGTTTTTTTTTTTTTAATTTATGGCTTACTATTATAAAATCACATAACGCTGTTTGCAAGTGCAATATTAAAAAAAAAAAATCAACAAACTTTCGTAGGAAATTCGAACTTTTTTAAAATTCTAAAATATTTAGCCATTTGAAACTTGTACTTTATTCTACTAGAATTCAATAGGCTACAAAACTGCATAAAATCTGTTGATTTTTTTTTTTTTTATTGCATAAAATTTTAAGGCAGTGTCACTCGGATTGGTACATTTGTTCACATTTGTACATTTTTATATTGGGCTATTGGTACAAAAAAAAATGGGATACCTTTCCTTGTAGTAGTCACAACATTGGTACAATTCAGCGATGTTCTATTGAAAATTTTCAACAAATTAATTTTCGTGATTGGGATAAAGAAAAATATTTTGGGTGGTCACACAATTGGGATACGATTTGCACCAAATTTTGGCAAATACCCAATGGTGTGACACTGCCTTTAAACTTGTATTTATACGGATGTTGGTACAGAATGAACTATAAAAAAACTAACCAAAAGTAAATAAGAACAAAAATAATATTTTAAAACTGATTACTCGGCCGTGCTATCATAGTAGCACAATGCCACTAATTTTCAGGCAATAGCCTCATGCGATTATCGATTATATTTTTTGTTGTTTGTGTGAAATATTTTATTTTTATCAGTATTTTTCTTTTAATCAAAATATGTTGAAATAAAAGTGAAACTAAAAAAAAATCAATACAATTTCAAATTACATAAACCCAGTCACAGCCCTTTTTTGTATTCGACGCTTTCGGAAATCACATAATAAATACATAAAATAAATAAAAGCTGTTTTGATTAAAAAATATTACATAAACTGGAAACTGTTAAAAATAAGTGCGCTGGTGTACAGAGATTTTAGAACCTATTTAGTTCCTAAAATTCCTGTATGCAACACATAACAATAAAAATTGCACATCGAATTGCTAAGAACGATGAAGTAAATCGATTCAGACATGTCTGTTTAACTGGCCGCGCGTGCACAAAAGTTAGCACATGTTAGTTAAGGGGCTGTTCAATTATTATGTAAACACCAGTGGGAAGCGGGAGTCTTGGTTTGGCAACATTTCTTCAAATAAGTAAAACATTAATTACACACGCACAAATTTTGCCTGCAATTTCGATCACAATTGAACACTGCACTTCACTCTCGTTTCGGATTTATGAAAGCGTTTTTCTAAGCTGTTTAGTGGTTTAACACTTCTTGGGGGCACTTGATATTGGAATAAAAATTGCGCAATTCGATCCCTAACTACATTTTTTTGTGAAGAACGCCCGTTAGCCTTAAATTGGTAAAATTACAATTATTTTTTTTTATTTTGTTTACATCTGTCATTTTTTACAAATGAAGAAAAGTCTAAGAGTTGCCAAGTATAAATATTTTTATATCTATTTATTAAAATAATAATTTACAATAATAATTTATTTAATTAATACTTTATTAAAATACAAATTTGAAGTGCAAATACATTTGTAAAACTGTTTATCACAAAATGTTATTAATTGTTTGCAAGCATACTATAGTTTTCATGCACTTTAAGAACAAATAATCTAATATGTGTACATACATATCGTCGTTTCAAATACAAAACCGCGTATTGTCATTCTGCAAAACCGCGTAACTGACATTGGTTGTCAAAAATTGGATTCGCTCACACAAGCTCTTGGCTCAATTCTTATCCATTCGTCCTGAAATATACTAGCCAGAAATACGTTTGCTTTATAAAAAAGATAACCATTTTGAAATATGGGTGACTTTACTCTCTAGAAAATAATTTATGCAATTACGCGGTTTTGCATTTTCTTGATACGCGGTTTTGTACTTTAAACGACGATATGTATAGCATGTACTTACGGCGGCCGCCGTAGCAGAGTGATTACATGTGCGTACTTCCACTCCATAGGACCATGGTTAAATACCTGGTCAGATCATAGCCCAAAATAGCAGTCGTCCTTCGGCACGCAATGGCAAACCTTCGAGTATATTTCTGCCTTGAAAACTCTTCTTATAAAATCAGAACTCATGCCTCAAGTTTGAGCAGAAGTTCGGCCAAACACTTAGAAAAATATTTTAGCACCAAATATTTATTTGTTTACTTATTTTAAGGGAGATGGCAATCTTCTGGTTTCACATTTTGAATACAAAAATCTCAACCCTGATGCAACAAATAGTATTAGTACTGAATGATAATGACAGATTGCATTCACATAAACGTACAATCAAACATGATTGAGTCTTTTTTTTGCATTCAAATTCTCTATGTGAATGGGTGTCAACCATTCCATAACACACTGCGTATTTTGTGTTTACAATTTGTAACCAATCTTAGTTAAGAGTGGTTGTTAAATTTTTTAAATCAAACAAACACATTTTTGACACGAAAAAAATGAGAATGCACACTCAATTGATTCGATCATTACACAGCTCTGATGCATAGATAGAGGAGATAGATATATTAAAAAGCAAGTCTAAACAATCAGAGGTATGGAAGATATATATACCTGATGTAGCACCAATCTAAGTGATTTTCACTTCTGTGTGATCGGTATGTAAACCGGTAATACAATTTAATGGGTTTAGCTTCCTACATAATGGAGATACATATATCACAAAAACTGGTATCTGAACAATCTGTGGTAAAAGAGATAAAGCTTATACAGCATAGATTTTGACGATTTTCTCAGCATACTTTGTATTATTATTAATAAAATAGCTTACGAAATTTGTCGGTTTTAGCTGTCCAAATAAAGGAGTTTTACAGTAAAACCCCATATCTGAACAATCAGTTGTATGGGAGATATACATATGTATGTTATAGTGACCCGATCTTTGTAATTTTCACTGTAAGTATTCTGTTAATAATGAGTGAAAATGGTGCGAATTTTCATATTCCTAGCTGCATAAATGGAGAAGTTATGGCAAAAAATCGATTATCTGAACAATCAGTTGTAAGAAGGCTACAGGTTATAGCGACCCGATCTTCGCAATTTTCACTGAAAGTAGTCTTTAGATAATGAGTGCGGACAGCGCAAAATTTCATGTTCCTAGCTACTTAAATGGAGTAGTCATAACGAAAAATCGTATATCTGAACAATCAGTTGTATGGGAGCTATATGCTTTGGTGATCCGATTCTTCCGGTTCTCAGAATGCGTAAATAGAAATCGGCAGCTTTATACCATTAGAGAGGGGCCATTCATTGACAAGCGATGGGACCTTTGAGAAGGCGGCTTATTTGCTTTTTAAGCTCTTATCAATCCAATTCTTTTTTATGGTAACCTTGTTCGTTTGATCCCAATAGATACGTATTTAGCTGGGGAGGGTGCCGAAGATTTGCCAATGAATGGAAACACACAGATAAGGTAACACATAATATGTACTTGTATATGTACCCGTACATAGAAAAGCGTTATCTGATTTTTTCTTTAGGGAGCTTAACGCAAGCCCAAGTTCTTTTGTTGCGAATTTCTTTCAAACGCTATTGTTTTAATCTAATAAGAGGCTTTTAGTGAATAATCGACCAACTTTCGTATAAACTGGAGTTTGAATGGAGTTTAATTAACGAAAGAGGGCAATTACAAAATTTTTAAAAAATTTTCTCAAATAGGTTTTAAAATTTAGCTGGGGCCTTTTACATAAATTTTGTTCTGAAAAAATATGTTTGAAGGAAGAAGTGATTTTTTTAATTTTTTTACATGTTTAGTGGCAGTCGTTGTGGTGTAGTGGTAAGCACTGCCCGCTTCCACTCCGCAGGACCTGGGTTCAAGCTCAGCCCAACCCAGCACCAAACCAAAAAAAAAATAGTTTTTTCTAAGGGCGGTCGCCCTCGGCAGACAATGGCAAACCTCCGAGTGTATTTCTGCAATGAAAACACAAAAAAAAAATACAATCGCCGTTCAGAGTCGGCGTAAAACTGTAGGTTTGTGTGACAACATCAAGGTGCACATTAAAAATCACTAACATACATATCTGTGTTCGTTTGGAAAAGTAGCTTATGTCGAAAGGCTGGCTTTAGTATAATACGGCATTCCCTTTATTCTTTAAACAACAAGAATTTTTTGCATGAGACTTAACAAGAATATTGACTTGCTAGTATCGGAACTATTTCTTGCACGTTTATTTGCCAAAAGTATTTCAACGGCTTAGCGCCGCTGAGTCATTCGCAATCGTATGCTGCGAATGCCGATTTATACTAAAGCCAACCTTTCGACATAAGCTACTTTTTATACGAACACAGATATGTGTAAGCGCCAATCTATTATATAGCATGTTTATTTATTTACTTTTCTTAAGATTACCTATGTATGTGTTAATTTGTTTACTTATTTATTATGCTGTAGCTTGTCTCATATTATAATTCCCTAAGACTGGTTTTGTCATAGCTAATTAAAAGTGAGGTATTTATCGAAATCCCGCAAAAAAGAGGTTATTTTTATCAATTGATAATATTTTACTGCAGGCCATGTACAAATATGACACATGCACTCATACATACTGCATATATGTACATACATACATACGCTTGTAACTACATAAAAATGTGTTGTTGTTTTTTTTCAGAGGAGAAGATGTCGATCAATCCAAACGGATATAAACTGTCCGATAAAACGGCGCGGCTCACGGCACATGGTAAGTTATATTCACATACATACATATCGTCGTTTACACTACAAAACCGCGTATCGTCGTTCTGCAAAACCGCGTAACTGACATTGGATGCCAAAAATCGGATTTGCTCAAACAAGCTCTTGGCTCAAACCTTATCCATTCGTCCTGAAATATACTAGCCAGAAATGCGATTGCTTTATAAAAAAAAAAAAAAAAACATTTTGAAAAATGAGTGTTTTTACTCTCTAGAAAATAATTTATGCAACCTCACAAACGCGGTTTAGCATTTTTTGGATACGCGATTTTGTACTTTAAACGACGATATATGATTGCATAAAAATTTGAAAATTGAACCTTTTGAAAGCTTCGTTATGGCGCCGGCTCTCCCATAGCCAGCCAAAGTTTTGCAAAGCCCATTCCCATCATAAACATTCTGTATTTACTAATCCCAATTCCATCCGCAGCCATTACCTGACTTGTATTCGAATGTGTAAATACTTACATTCAAACATACTTTTACATTCATACCGAAGGCCTTTTCAAAGCTCAAAGTAGAAACGTATGGTTTTAGCATGTTCAAGCACTGTATAAATATGTACTCCAGTACTTAAGTTGTGCCCACACAAACAGTTGGCAAATGACATACTAAGGGCCGTTTTCTGAAGTTACCTTTAACTTTAAAGCTCACTATATATTTAAAGGTTGGATTAAAAATAAAGCTATGTCTAAAGTTAAGCATTTCTATTATCGGTTTTTGACGTATGTATGTTTCCTGGTTGTAAATCAATTTAAAACCGACAATAAAATGATTTACTTTAGACACAATCATAAATTTTAATGCAACCTTTAAATATAAAGTGAGCTTTAAAGTTACAGGCTACTTGAGAAAACGGCCCTAAGTATTTGTTAGTTGTGTGGCTCAACTAATAGCAACGCTTAGGCTGAAGTTTGCCAAAATACTGAATTCGCGTTTACTTACAAATGTGATTCACAGATTCACTACATACAAACATACAAACTGTTTGTATTTCTAAGTGCAAAACAAAAAAAAAAATATACCTACTTTTGTGCACCAGAAGCTGCCGGTGTCGGACACACTCGTCCACTGAGGTGATAAATTGCTCTGCAATTCGTGTCCCCACCCCCGCTCTCTGTGAGGCAGCAGCATTACCGACTCCTCCTCCTCCTTCACGTTTCGCTCGCACACGCATGCAAGCAACGTAGCAGCAGATTAGCCGTGGATGTGTGTGTGTGTGTGTGCGTGGCAGGCATCCGCAGCAGCAGCAGCGACGCGACGTTAAGAAGTCAAAGTCATCCCCTTTCCTGTGTGCGGCGAGTGAGTGTGTGTGCGGCTGAAATTCAATACACGGCACAGGCATAAACCGTTTAGTCACAGGATATTACGTTCGTTTACATGTCACTGGAATTCCGCTTATTTATTACGTACGCACTACGTATGGCAGCAGCGGGCGCTGAGCACAGCTACTTACGTACTAATGCAAAAGCTATGCGAAGTCGGTTTTCCTAACTGGGGGAGTTGGGTGGTGGTGGTGGTTGTGTGGTGTGTAACAATTTTTTTGGTGCTCAGTTTTACTTTAACTCGTCGCGCATTCTTCGGGCCTAAAAATCCTTATCAGTCCATCAGTTTATCAGTCGTTGACGTGCGTATGTGCGGCTGGTGCTGCTTCCTCTTCCTTTTGTAAACAATCCGATTTTTATCAGTCAGTGCTTATGAGTTTGTTCGTATGCATGTGCGGGTATGGCATAGCGAATGCGACCATCAACGTGTTTTTAAATTGAATTTGAAGAGCAGAGAAAGCAAATAAACGATTTGGTAAGGATTCACTGGAATGTTTCTCTCGAGCAGAAAGAGGCAGATACAGTTGATTATTCGAGAAATAAGGACATTTGTGAACTAGCAGGGTGGCATATTATTTTAAATTCTCACGCCACTACAATTGCACTAGGAAAAGAAAATTTAATTTCGCGGCCGATTTCATTTCGAGAATGCAAATAAAAATTAGTGTCTGGCAATTAAGTTTCACTGTAGTATACAATTTCATGGACTTAGCATCTAATTTAAAAAAGATGGAAGGTGCATACTTACGTATGTATTCATTCATTCTTTTACGAAAGAGCGCAAACTTTATATACTAGTTGGACCAAAAATGTTCGCCATTTTCCTCATCGCATTGCGATGTTACGCCAATTATACATACACACAAGTGGACACGTGCTTCTTCCGAGTCATAGGATTTTTTCATACGGGCGTACGACATATCCAGGGTACCGCGGGTAGATTTTGGAGCCCTCTGGCGGCGATGTTTTTGTTATGGCGTCTGTCTAACCTATAATTTATTTTTTTAGTCGATATAAAATTACGGGCATTAAAAGATATTAGAGAGCGTAATTTTTTGTTCGATGAGAAAGGGTTCTGCTCTTCATTCACTATTTCAAACCTATAACTGCCAAAAGTGTTAGGCTTACCATGTCATCTTCATCTACGAACGCCAGCAGCATCGTGCTTTTGTCGTTGCGAAAACCGCGTTTGGTCCCGAATGGAACGTCGACAGGTCCCTGTTAATTTGGACGGAAATGAAAGTTATGCTCAAAGTCCTTCTTCGTATGATCTCTAATGGATTCCAAATTTAGACTTGCATCGTATAGACATATTCTTTCCCTGCTATCAAACCACCACCATATCTCAAGTGTAGTCTGGATGTCTGTTAACAGATTTCCATCTTGCCACTAATTTCTTCTTTTTGAATAGACGTCTCTCTCCTACTTTCTGTATCGCTCAATTGTAGCTCGCGTCGACATTAGCCGTGGGGAGGTTTTGTAGGGTGTGTATTTTTCTGCAGCACCACGAGACTCTCTTCTCTATCTCTTTTGCTCATTTATTTCCCGACGCTCAGAGGCCGGAGAAGCCATGTTTTGCGCGAAAAATGAGAAGAGCTGTTACATTAATAACATAACTGCAGGATCGTAGTATTGTTGTAGTGCTAAATCCGAAAATGGCATACAAGTTATAGTTTGACAGTTGACAGCTGTCAAATAAACTGCCAATTTCTGTAAAAATAAGAAATGTTTTTGAAAATATCAGTGGTTAGGTTAGACACGAACTTTATGTCAAATTAAAACTTTGACAGTTGACAGCTGTAAAATGGACTGAATTTTTCTAAAAATAAGACAATCTTTTTGAAAATGCCACTTATTAAGTTTTTAGACATGCTGATCACGAATTTTATCTCAAATTAAAACATTGCGAATTGACAGCTGTCAAATGGACTAACGGAATCAGTTTTCTCATTTTTAAATAACGTTATTCAGATTTTAATTTTTGGAAAAATTGCGGACGTCACATTGGATTTGCATTTTGAATTTTCAGTAACTAGTTAATTTTAAATTTTAAGTGTTGGATGCCATATTGAATTTTTGAAAATTTACTTCAGGTTTATTAAGACATATCTTATAATTTATATGATGCTTAATACAGAATAAATTACATTAATCACTTTTAATACACTTTATATTTTTTGGAACTGCTAAAGTTGGTCTAGTGAAAGAAAAATGGCCGCCACTCTTTTTGGCGGCTTTCCTTTTTCGATGCCTTGGCAAAACCGCCTAGATATGACCTGGGTAGGCCACTTTTGAAATCTAAATTCGAATTCAAAATTTTTAATTCTTTCAAAAGCGTAAAGTTTTAATATCTCTGACTTCTGAGCTCTAGAATTTCGAAAAGGAACTCACTCACAAAACTGATTTTAAGGTTAGGACTCCTCCTTTATTTACAACGACACAGTTTTTTTATTTGCACTCAAATGCGCAAGCAACTTGTTCAGCCCTTCTGTTACTCCAGTAAAACCAAATTCTTCAAATAACTAACTTCAACAACTGAGTAGAAAAACAAGAAATTAATTTTGAATACAAAAGCTGATGAATGATGCTTCCCATTCCTCATTTTGGGCGCCAGCTGTACGACCTTGCGAGGGTCGATTGCCATATTGCCGCACTCGTCGCCCACTTCGGGGCCATACAAAACTACCACCTCCCACTTCCAAGCCATTTTATGCCCACACACACTTACTCGCCAAACACATACACACACACTCTTCTGTATGGCACTCGCCTTATTATTATTGTTATACCGTTGTTTATGGCCCAACCACATTCGATGGCACAACAACAGCAGCTGCCACGGACATTAAGGGGGAGATTTTCAATCAGTACACGGTAGCCGCAATTTCCTCCAGCAAGCTAAGAATATTTTCATCTTTTATGCTCTGTCCGGTGTGTTTGATTATCGTAGCGGGTTTGGTAAGAAAGAGAAAAACGAAAAGCTTTAAAATGCAATCTGATTTTTATGGACGGCCAGGAAACCAGAAATCAGATCAGCCACACTTAATGGGCAAAATTTGCAATTTTCTTTGGTTTTTTTTTTATTGAATAGCGAGTGGAGGCGAAGCAGGACGACAAGTCATATTCATATATCATAAAGCAGTAGATAAAAAACAAAAACGGAAGATATGTACGCTCAGAAGCGAACTTCAATCGGCATATCGCTTTAAGAGAAAGTAAAAAAAAGGGAGCAAAGAGAATTATGAAACTATTTTCGTCATTGCTTGATAAAAAAACACTGTGCAACAATAGAATGAAGTCTTCAAGTGTCCAAGTACAGGTCGTAGGGCTGACCGAATATTTTCATTTCATTTTATTAACAAACCTTTCGGACTAGATTAACAAAGTCACTTAATAAAAATTTACCAACTAAATTAAAGAGATGGTTAATTTGCTAAATAGTAAAGGCAGAACATCGTAAAATCAAGATCAATAATTCTAGAAGCTATTAAATTCTCAAAGAGAATTCGTCCAATTATTCTGATTTTACTACACCATGTTAATTTTTTTTCTTTTCAACTTTGTCCTTTGGAGACTTTATGAACAAAATCTCGTAAATTTTTCATAATTCCCTCCCCTCGAATCTCTTCATGGAAAAAGTATAATTTTTTGTTTTTTTTTCACCCTTGCAGATCTGCTGCCGACTACAGTCAGCGCCACTGCTGAAACCCGAGAGTTCCTCCAAAAGGTCATCGATGTCCTCTTGGATTTCGTAAAGGCGACCAACGATCGCAACGAGAAGGTGCTTGAGTTCCATCATCCAGAGGAAATGAAAACGCTTATCAACTTGGAGATACCGGATCGCGCGGTGACGTTGCAGCAGTTGATTGAGGATTGCGCCACCACACTCAAATATCAGGTGAAGACTGGTAAGTACGCTAACTACCGAATAACCAAAAATTTGTATACGAAACAAGGAAGTTGAAGAAAATTCGAATGAAAGTTAATTGAATAAGTAAAGTTAGTTGATAAGCGCGCGGTGTTTTTACTTCCACTGTCAATGTGATACCGGGCGGGAATTGGTGGGCGCTCACTTTGCCGCACTCATTTGTAGACATACAAAACACATACATACATATATATGTACATATTTTGTTTGGCGTTAATTTTATTTGGAAGCAAAAAAAAAAACAAACAATTGCAGCAGAATAGAATTCATTAAAAAGTTTTGCTCACAAAATAAGCAAATAAAAACAGCAGCCGATAGCCGCCTTACCTTCCGGAAGCCAACGTCAACGCTGACACTTCCGCAGCAAGGCCAACATATCCGGTTGGTGGTGGAACGCTGCGTTTAAGTGTCTGCCTGTGGCAAATATCCATGTTTGTTGTAACTATGTATGTATGTGGCACGTCCCGTCTTCGAAGTGCCATAAATACGCTTATTATCGCTACTTCAAACAGAATTGCGGTCACGTGGCAAATTCGATTAGGAAGCGCACGCAGGGGCGGGCAACGACACAGCACGCAGCGACAATAGAATCAGTGTAGCATTCAACGACGCAAAAGTTCGGCGCTTTGTGGCTGCCACACGACTTTTGGCTTTCAATCCTTTGGTTGCATGCGATTTTGATTGATTTGGCACTTACGACAACCACAATATTTGTCAGCAAAAAAAAAAACTAAAGTAGATGCTCTAAAATCCACGAAACCTTTCCCCGCGATAGATACAAACGTTTGTGTGGTTGTGTGCCACGTCTGCAAATGAAAGGTGTAAATTTAAGAGTCTGCATTCAATGGGCCATAAAATGGCATTAGAGCGTTGATCTGGTTATCTACCCATTGTTCGCTGTCCACATTGTGTGTGTGTCTGTCTGCTACCCTAATGCAACCGCAAAGCAGCCAAGCACGTCTCTTTGCAACAAAGAGACATCATGCCGCGCTTGGCGGGTGGGAGCACCAAGCATATGCTAGCTGGTGACTCTGGTAATTATTATTCAAATATTATGCAAAGACAAATTTGATTTTGAATGAGTGTCGAAACTGTAGTCTCTAAACAGCGGATGATTTGCGCCGAAGCCACTGCTGTTAAAATAATCGGATGTTCTCGTCAACCTGTTCAAACATTCCGCAGCGAGATAAGCTCGGAAAGCAATTATGCAAAGGCGTACGAGGGTTGACTCTTTCAAAATAAACAAACAATATGTAATATTCGCAAAATAATAAATTTTATTATTACGTTCGTCCTCTTATTTCTTCTAAAAAAGGATTATGGCAAAGCCAGGCATTCCTTAAATCTATCTTTACATTTCGGGAGGTTTAGCAACTAATCTTTTACAAATAGAAGCATTTACTCCATATTGACTTTCTAAAGGCGAGCCAATTATTACATACCCAAGACTTTCATATCCTATAATAATAGTAATAGATTTGCGCTTAAACATACATATGTCAGTATTTGGCCGAGCTTCTCCTCCGATTTGTGACGTGCGTATTGATGTTGTTACACAAAGGGGAGGCATCTAAGGTTTTACGCCGACTCCGAACGGCGATTGTATTTTTATGAGAAGCTGTTTTTCATGTCAGAAATACGCACGGATGTGGCTTTGACCAGGGCTCGAACCACTACATCACAACGGCCAACCATCTTCTATATATATAAAACAATAGCCGTTTTCGTTGCTCGGAGTTAACTCAAAAACTACTGCATAGATTTGAGTCAAATTTTCAGAGGTTATACCTTGCATATATGGTCCTATTATAGGCTACCAGAAAACTCGTTAGGTGGCGCTGGGGTCGAGTTATTTATAAAAGTCGTATTTATGAACCGATTTCGTTTAAACTCAAAACGTGTGCTACCTCCATGATGAGAAATACGCATGTGAAAAATATACCCGCTAGTTGGCGCTGGAAGCGATTTATTTATTTATGAACCGATTTTGTTTAAATTCAAGATGTGAGCTACCAGTATGATGGAAAATATGTTTACCAAAAATATACCCGCTAGGTGCGCGGGAGTCGAGCTATTTATAAAAGTCGTATTTATAAACCGATTTCGTTCAAATTCAAAGTATGAGCTACCTGCATGATGAAGAAAAGTAAGTGCGCCTGGGCCACACAGTAGTAGTGAAACTTACGTTACATATCTAATCAATATATTGTGTCATAATCAATATATCGAGGGCTTATATTAAGTACAATCTATCTGCAATTTTCAGAAAAACTACTTTCCGATGTTGAGCCCATCTGGTGCTTAGCTGTCATCACTAATGTTAATTTGAACTATGCAATTCAATAACAAATTTTTTTAACAAACGATATACATACATGATCAGTATCAATATCATCGATGGCAGTTAAATCTTAGGTGAATTTCAATCATAAATATCAATAGCAATATCGATAAATATCAATAGCAATATCGAAAATTATCGACAACAAAATCGATAAAAATATCGATGACAAAATCGATAGCAAAATTGATAACAATATCGATAAAAATTTCGATAACGAAATCGATAAATACCGATAACTAAATCGATAAATATCGATAAATGAATTGATAAAAAAATGTATAAGTATCGATAAATATCGATAACAAAATCTATAAAAAATATCGCTAACAAAATTGTTAAAAATATCGATTACATAATCGATAACAAAATCCTGTAGGGGGGTGGGGGGGAAGATGGGTTTAGTTTCCTTGTCAGAACTTTTATTGGCTTACATGGTTTACGGACCAATTATGATAATAAGACCATCGGTAAAACTCATGACATCGCAAGGGGTTAGTATTCCATATGGTATCACAGCGCTACTATTCTTGGCCTATGTGTGAGGAGGATTCTGCTCTTTATTCGTTTCAATTTAAACTAAAAATGTGTACTTTACAGAACGCCTTTGGTTTTAACGCTATTTCTGTATTAGCCAACGCAAAAAAATCTTATTAGGCGTCCCGAAGCAAGCGGGCATTGGCTAGTATTCTATAAACAAACAAATTTAAGTGCTTCTCTAGCTTAGAGGATTTTCTTTCATTGGAGGTATCTGTTGGACATGGGCTGATCGCCAATAATCGCATCGCAGGTTAGAGGTGCACTCTGCTCTTAGTTTTAGAGATAAAAAAATCGTGCCTTAACAACGTTCTAGGGTCAAGAAAGACTCCCGCTAGGATACTACTAAAATAGTTTTTATGTATGTACTTATGTATGTATGTACATTAAATCAAATCACGATGCTTGGGCGAAAAAATATAAATTTGTTCCAAACGAATTTGAACATCTCTACGAGAGTATTACAAGAAATTAATTTTTTTCGGTAAAAACAGCTAAATCGCTTTTTCTGTAATTTTTTTTTATTTGACATCTATAAATTATACAACGTAGTTAAGTAAAGAAAGTCTAAAGTTGTTCATCTGTTCTGCAAGAAAAAATGTTAACCGATTATTGTTTAACAATATTATTGTACAAGAGTTCACTCCTATAATGATAATGGTGGTAGTGGGTTACATACATATTAAGTAAATCTTCATCATAGGAGTGTATTTTTAAGCTTCTTACTATTGATTACCGGGTGCCGTTTTCAGAAAAAAATATATAAGTTCTTAGTTTGACACGTTAGTATAATCTGGGAAAAGTGTGTAGGCTTTTTTAATACCTTTACAACGGACATCAAATAAAGAAGTTATAGAACAACGACTTAGCTGTTTTACAGGGTACCGAAAAATATTATTTTATCCCCCTGAAATACTCTCACAGTGAGTGTTGAAGAAGATTGACCGTCTAATGTACAAACATACGCACATTGGGGCCAATAATTTTTTTTTAAATACAAATACCTCTGGTAAATGGCAAAAGGGAATACCTGATTTTCACTAACCTTCAATAACAAAAGTACGAATATCAACATGCACAGGTTTTTACATAACCAACCTGCAGCCTTACGATGCCTCACTCTCTTTGCTGGGCGTAATATTCTTCCAGTTTCTGATGATAACTGCTAGGGGAGTTCTTGGTCTGTACACTCCTTAGCCAAATTTCTCATTATCAGGTACTCGCGCGGGACCAGTCACCCAGAATAAAACAACAGAAATTGAAGCTTATCCCCATATAAATAATACAAACTCCAGATCCTGAACCGGTGCCAATTTTTGAGCCATTAGTAAAGATTCGACAATGTGTAATGTTCGGGCCTAGTGTTGGGATTAAGCCAGTCAGTTAACTCAAAAAATGTGCAAAGTGATAGTAAGTGTCGCAATACCCGGTCGTCCGATGTTGATTGAGAGTCTGCATCTACTGACGCATAACAGATCATAGAGATATTGAGCCGGAGGATCTCACTTTGCAACTCATCCTAAAATACTTACATACATAAGTACTTAAATGTTTATGCATATATACTAGGGACGGTAATCATTATGAGTAAAATAATTCAAATCATCATTTAATAATTATTTTATGATTTTATTTTTTCGCGTTCAACGGAAATCATTGTTATTTGATTTTTATTTTTTTCATGACAAATAATTATTGTTAGTTAGTGTATTGTTGAGTTAGATTATTATTAAAAATTTAAAAAGCCCTACAGACGCAACCAACTGAAATTTTGACCTGAAAGTTTTGTCCCTTATTCCTTCTATTAGGATGTCGCTGCCTCTGAAAAGGATACATCGGAAATCAAGCTGGTATAGCTTTTGAGTTTTTTAAAAGGTCATTATTCCTAAGTGAAAAATTAAACCTAACCGATAAACGTTGTGGCGAACGTGCAAATTTGTTCTTCGATATCCAATAGTAATCGAACTGAGAACGAACTCATAACCAACCTTAGTTTTCCAACGTTTATGGTATATTGGAAATACACTCGAAATGCGTTAGAATTGTTAGCCAAGCCTATTTTTTATTGCGCAATAATAACTCTTATCTTTGAGCGAAAAAGT